TGCTACTCAAATAATACATCTAGACCAAGAAGCATTTCTTACTTTGCCACTGTTGGCCCCTGGCATGATGCTAACCAAATAAAAGGCTTTCAAGACACATTTGCTGGTCGATTCTGTTTCTAAAGTGGTGTGGAACGGTGGAAGATACGAGAGCCGGTTCAGTTTCACCGTCTGTGAGTGGAGTGGTCCTGGGTAAATTCTGTAACCATGGGGTGTTTTTTTCTTTTCTATGTGGTGACAGAGGCACAATAGCATTTGCCATATGGAGATAAGGGGTAGAAAGTAGCAAGGCCTCAACCCCCAGGACAAGAAGATGCTTAAAGCTGGTTTTTCCCCTTTTAGGAAAAGTAAAATTTCAGAGTACTCACCCATAGCCATTGCTGTGTTTAGCCTGACACATTATTTCTAATCTTTTATGCCTTTGCTTCCTTTAATTTTTACTTTGACATCTATACTTACTTTAGCTTCATCTCAAAGCACAGGAAAGTATAAGAAAATAGATTTTTATTTTATTTATTATTTATATTTTTGAGACCAGGTCTTGCTATGTAGCTCAGGCTGGCCGCTGACTAACAGTACCCCCTACTAACTTTAGCATCCTAAGTGATGGGATGACGGGCATGAGTCACTACACCTGGCTCAAATATGCAGGTTTAAAAGTAAGAGCTTTCAGCTAAATGTGGTCATACCAGCGTTCCAGGCTGAGGCAGAAAGGACATTGAGTTCCAGGCTCGCTGGAGCTATATGGCGAGAACATGACTCTAAGAAAGGGAAGGAGCATGAATGCCCTAACTGTATTATTTTTCTTAACAGTTAATGATTATCAGCCTAAACAAGGCTCATACTATTTAGCTTCCAACCAAACTTGTCAGGAGCATTAATGTGTATTGACCAGGTCTTATTCTGTTACTTCATTCACAAGGGAATACTGAAAAGTGAGCCTTTCAGAACAGTGTGTTGTTGGCTGTTCTCTTGGTATGTCTGTGTGTGTGTGTATGAATATGAACATATATACATGCATACACACACACATATATATATGCATGTATACACACACACACACACACACACACACATATATATATATATATAAATAAAATTCTGCACTTTTGCAACCACCCTCCATGGCAGGAGTTAGAGGTTGACAAAGATAAGAAGACCACTTATACTGGGCCGGGGGACATGTGCCTTTAATCCCAGCACTAGGGAGGCAGAGGCAGGTGGATCTCTGTGAGTTCAAAGCCAACCTGGTCTACACAGCAAGTTTCAGGACAGGCTCCAAAGCTACAGAGAAACCCTGTCTCGAAAAACCAGAACAAACAACAAACAAAACAAAAACATTATTCTGTGACAGATAAAAAATTACATGTAAGCCACATTCTAAGGTTGATGAGTAAAGTTTTGATTTTGTTTTTTGTTTTAGATTTAGTTTGTGTGTATGAATGTTTTGCCTGAATGTAGGTATGTGCATCACATGCTTTCCTGATGTCTGTGGAAGCGAGAAGAGGGCTTCTGACCTGGAACTGGAATTATAGATGGTTGTGATCTACCATGTGGGTGCTGGGAATTGGACTTGGGTCCACTGCGAGAGCAAAAAGCTCTTTTAAAGGCTGAACTATCTCTCCAACTCCCACCCACAAGTAAAATTTTATTAAATTAGAATTACATCCATTCTTTGCAATTTTTATATTAACTTATTGTGTGTGTGTGTGTGTGTGTGTGTGTGTGTGTGTGTGTGTACTTGTGCTATGAGTGTAGAGGTCAAAGGGTAAATTGTGGGAGTCAGTTCTCTCCTTCCACCACATGGAGCCTGGGCTATCAGTTTTGGCCACGAGCATTTGTAAGTAGTGAGTCTTGCTGGCCCTCTTTGTATTGTTTATGGCTGCTTTTGTGTTACTGTTGCAGAACTGAATAGCTGCTCATTTCAGCAGCTACAACACTGACCCTCTATTTTAGATATTTACTATCTGGCACTTGGCAGAAAAAGTTTGCTAACTCCTGTTTAGAGGGAAAGGCACAGCTCATGAAAGAGAAAGCAATGCTGCATTATGGGACTCAAAAGAGAAAGAAACTCATTTGACATATCAAAGGAAAACTCATTATTTCTTAGAGAAAGTAGATGGGCCCTGAGTAGTAAGATGGGATGGGCAGGGGTTTTCCAAACACGAGCAATCCCCTATGTCCAACAGAGGAGTGGGAAAGGTGCCACTGTGAGTAAGATGAGAAGTCCATTTTGACTGCAAGGCAGTTCTAAGCAAAAAGGGAAAGTGAAATTACAGGAGAGTAATTGAAGGCTTCTTCAGGAAGGGAGTGACTACTGAGTAGCTTTAAGATAATTTATCTAGCAACAATGTGTAAAATGGGTCACAGTAGGCAGCTAAAGCTACGAGGCTCCAAAGGTCCAGGAAATCAGTTGTGTCAACATAAACAAGTGTGGTCTTAGTTGAAATGGACCAGAGGGGCCTGGAAAATCTTGTCCAGCTGCTGCTTAATAGATGCACCAGTTGAGGGTTGGTTATTCAAGGGAAGGAAGAGAAAGGTGACAGGTTTGAAGAGTGGATAATTTAAAAGATGGTGACACAATTAGCAAAGGAAAAGGAGACAAAACTGGTTTGGTGACAATGGTAATGAGCCCCGGTTTGCACACAAGTTAGAGAGAAGTCGCCAGCAGAAGACACCCTGGTCTGACAGAAAAACAGGACAAGGAGTTCAAATTCAAAAGCGAATCCAGGACTACCAGACACAGGGTTTTCCTGTTCTCTATATACCAATCACAATTCAATACAACTTGCATTGACGACCAGCCTAATGAGATGATAAAAGTACTTAAACTTAAAATAAGCAATTCTACAAACTGTGGCTCCACTCTTTCTGAATAAAAAGGAAGAAGGAATTGCCCAAATGTCAAAGAATTTAAAAACAACAGGAGGGGGAAAAGCCAGTTTATTCAGCACTCTTGTTCAAAATTTCAGGCTTTCAGACTTGTCAAATTTTCATTCAATAATTGATAAGATAGCAAAATCGAATTTGCAATTTGTTCATTTATAATTGATAACAATTCCAACAGACTGCTCTGAAATTTCCCCTTGAAACTTCCATTAAAAACTGTTCTCAGAAAATGACAATTATTGAAATAGGTAACATGTTTACTTACGAAATACAAACTGTAATGCTACCAAACACTGTTTCTGGAACTGGAGGGTAGCTCAGTGGGTAAAGTGCTCATTGCACAAGCATGAGAGCCTGGGTACCCATTTCCAACAGTCACCTAAGAATCCAGGGTGGTGGCCCATGCCTGTGATCCCAGAATCGAATCAGCATGGAGACAGGAGAATCCTTGGGCCTTCTTGGTCAGTCACTTGAACCTAATTGGTAAGGTTCAGTGAGAGATGTCTCAAAAAAATTAAAGAGGAAAGATAAATGGTGTTGACCTCTGGCTTTTCTGTGCCTAAACAGGAGAACGCGCGCGCGCGCACACACACACACACACACACACACACACACATTAATTATGCTGTTTCTCCTTTTGCTGCACTAAAGTGCTGACTGCTACACTTGCACACTTACCAGGCAAGCAGTAGACCACTGAGCTACATCCCTACCCTCTTTTTATTTTTTATTTTGAGAGGCTCACAAAATTGTCTAAATTGGCTTTAACTTACTCTGTGGCCTCAGCCAGCCTAGAATTTGCTATGAACCTCCTTGCACTTAGCCTATAGAAAAAGAGGTAAGCTCTTACAGGCCTGTGTCCTGAGGCCAGCCATAATTCATTCAGATCCACTCACTTAGCCTAGGTCATCTTAGTTGTCAATTCTTAAAAAAGAGTGACATTATACTCCCCATTTCTCTTCCAGAGTTTGTAAAAATTTCCAGAATAATTTGAATAGTGCCCAGCTCAATTGCCTACTTTCCTCCGTAATTTCCTCTCTAATTGTTTTCGCCCATCAGAACCTGTTCAATAACTGGCCTTGGTGGCTCACGCCTTTAATCCCAGCACTCCAGAGGTAGAGGCAGGTGTATCTCCACGAGTTCAAAGCCAACCTGGTCTACATAGCAAGTTCAGGCCAGCCAGAACTACATAATAAGGTGAGACCCTGTTTCAAAAACAAAGAATAGAAACAAACTCTTCAAAACAAAGCTCTGATGGGGCTGGTTCTCTTATTAAAGGTGGTAGTGTGAAAAATATTCTAATGATTAAGTCTATGTAAGTTCTTGTGCTCTTTGGTACTAGACATTTTTGGCCGGTGCTTTCCGGAGTCACATCATAGATTTACACCTATGAATAATCTATAAAGTCACGAAGGCGCCCCAGGCGTGCACTTCAATGAACCACTTATTTTAATTTTATAAACAGGGTTAATTTAGGTACCGGGAATAAGCATGCTTAGGTATCATCCATTTGTGAATTGTATCTGCAGAGTAATTCGGACAGTTGGCCCTGGTTAAGACACGGCAGGCTGAAATACTTGTCAAATCCAATGAAAGGCCAATTGAAAAATGAAAACTGCCCTGGTCGGGCTCTTTCACTGCGCTCTGGGAGTGGGGACTGCAGCTCTGTTACTTCTCCAGCTACTTTCCCCAGCACAAAGGACCACGCGAACACCAACGGCCTGGGGGCGTTGGCGACGGAATTCCAGTGTGCACTCGGAGGCCCCGCGACCGCTTCGGAGGGTTTCTAAGCCCTGAGCTCCCCGTTATCCGCTGGGGTCGAGAGGATGCGCTCCGTGGAGGCTGACTCCCGACTGTGTCGGACAGTCAGCAGGCGGAGGCGAAGCTGATCGGAGCACCCCGAGGGCGCTGGCAGGAACGGGGACCACGGCTGGGGCCGGCCGGCCAGAGACCAGGCGAGGCCCAGGACGAGGACCAGCCCGCCGAGGCCGCGCCTCCTCGGCCCGGGGCCCCGCCCCCGGCCCCGCCCCTTCCCGGGCTGCGCTCCTGCGCGCCCCGCCCGCGGGCGGAAGCGAGAACGAGGCTGAACGCCTGACGTCAAGGCGACACCGCCAAACCTCGCCCAGAGTCAGGCGTGGAAAGCAGCCTGAGCGGCGGAGGCGGCGGCGGGCGGCGGCGGCAGAGACCGCCGTGGCGCCGGGAGCAGCGAGCCGAAGGGAACGCGGAGCGACAGCGACGGCGGGGACCCGGTGACAGCGCGAGAGGTTAGCGGAGCGCGTGCGTGGCGGTGGGGCTGGCGCGGGCCGGCTGGAGGGGGCCGATGGGGGGCCGCGCGGGCCGGGCGGGGCGGCCGGGGTGGGGGGAAGCTTGCACGGCGGCGACGGTGGCCCGGGCGCGCGGCAGGTGGCTGCGGGGTCCCCCCCCCCCCCCCGCGAACCCCTCGCGAACCCCTCGCTTCAGCGGGCGAGCCGCCTCGGAGCGGCCGGGGAGGAACCTCAGCCGCGGCGGGGAGCAGCGCGCTTTGCGGAAGGGGTCAAATGTCTGAAATATGGCGGAGGAAGTGAGCGCCCGAGGAACCCCCAGCCGCCGCCCGCGGCACCGCAGCCTTCCTCGCCGCGCCCCGATCCCCGATCCCCGCCGCGGGGTGGGTGGAAGTTAGAGCGGAAACCAGAAAGTTGTCCTTTGCGGACACCCGGGGTTTCTCCCAGCTCCGGCCCGGGCGGAGTAGCGTTGATAGGGGTGGGGGGACCACTCCCCGGCGCCCCGCGGGCTCGAGCCTGACAGGGAAAAAGTTTGCCCGGATCGTGGCTGGCTTGCTTCATTTGTTGCGGGAAGTGGCCGAAGGAAGGCAAGGGAGCGAGCCCCACCTAGTCTGGCAGCCGCCACGGTGCAGAGACAGAGAAAAAAATGTTAAAGGGGCCTTTCCCTTCGTCAGCAAGAGGAAATCTCTTTTCTCTCTTGCAGAGAGAAAATCCAGGAAGTCTGTCCTCTTCTCCTTTTTTCGACATCTCGATATGTCTGATTCTGAAACTGACTTATCAGCGCCCTGAATTTTCTTTGAAACTACTCCCAGGGAACTGGGCCCTCCGGATTTTCCATGGGGTGGAGGAAGAAAGATCTTCCCTTCGGAGTTTGAGCGGATGGGCTTGCTTTTCTTTCGCTTGCCCCCTCCCACCCTCCCATACTTCAGAAAGACATTTTGGCCCCGCGACTCCTGACTGGTGTCAATACAAGCACTTCTTTATTACAGAAGTGGGAAATCGCATTTTTACTGAGTTGAAAATTGACATTATGGTGAAGGCTGGACTTTTAATATTTTAAATTAATATTTAAATTGTTGAATGTTTGCTTTGCTGACAGTGTGTATTGATATAGACCGAGTGCTTCTAACTTGTAAATTCATTTTTTCAGTTTTCTTTTGTATAATTAGAACGTTGTTGAGACTTGCCTAAAAGGAATTTCTCTTAGCAAGAAGTAACTTAATTGAATGGAGAGATTCTTCTCGTTTAAAGCTCTTATCAATCTAAGAGCTAACTTGGAATCTACGTATTAAGTCCTTATAGAGTCATGGGACTTTTTAAGGGCTGGAAAGGGACTATTTAAATCTGGTCCCACCCTGTCATTTTGTGGAGGAGGAAACTGAGGCCTAGAACAGGTAAGATAACCTGAGTCTGCTGATTTGTAAGGCAGTGGTTTATCCATAAAAGAACCCACAGGACGAAATGTGGCATTGAATGGTGAGTTAAATCTTGCAAATCTTTTTAGTCCTATTATCCGCTCCTCTCCAAGCTAGAGCGCCTTGGTTAGCTAAGTGTGGATAATGGCGGTGGATGGTGTCGTCCCCAGGTTTAAGTTAGAGGAAGTTAATACTCTGGGGAGGAAATAATTTTTACTTAAAGACACGGACTCCCTATTGACGGTCTTGTTTGAGCTTATCCACACTTGTAATCTCTGTAGTGCACTATGTTCCCTTGTACTCTCGTGTTGACATTCTCGGTAGTTTAATAACCTTATCTATGGAAGCCACAAAGTAAATTGCTGAAGGACATACAGCTATTTGGGTTTAATGTGCCTGGTATCAGAAGACTGCTGGAGGACGCAGTGCTAAGCTGTGGTTCGGGGCGCGGAGATGACGGCCATGTCTTTCCCCTTTTTCTAACTTATCACTCTTCCCCTCAGTGGCTTGTATCACTTCCTAACTTCTGTTACTGCTGTGTATTTTTATCTATTCTACTGAACTGTAAAGTCCAAGGACAGAATATATTCTTTTGTGTACCTCAAATGACTAGCGTGTTGCTGTTACATAGATTCTCTCAATGGAAGTTAAGTGGAGTTAAATAAAAACATCACAACGATAGGAATTAATTCTGTCATGTGTATTCTTAGTTCCTCGGGTTTTACCTGAGCACTAGTGATGTTTGGGACTTAAATTTAGAGGAATTAAATGGAAAATTCAAAGAGACTGAAGAGCACAGTGTAACTTTGAAAAAGAATTACTTGTACATTGTGTTTGGGCTCACTCACTTTACAAATTGATCATTTTATCATTGGTCATTTATAATGATTCCAGTGTTTCCTTTTGACCTACAGAGAAAGTGAGCCCTCCCTCGTGAGCCGTTTGCACCTGTAATCTCAGCAGTTCAGAGGTTGAGGTAGAATGATTGCCGTACATTAAAGGCCTGGACTAATGAAACCTTTATAAGTAAATACATAAATAACTTAATCTACGTTTATGGAGATCTTTGAAAGATTTTGCCTATGCAGAGTTTGATGACATGTAACTGTACTTGCTGTTTTAAGTGTAAAGTCTAAAATTGAGATCGAAATCTCATGTTTAGCGCTCTTTGCTTTTTGTTTAGGCACTTTGATAAATATTTATTGAATGAAATTAACTTGTGAAATAAGATCTGAGAAAACTTAGCAGAGTTTACCTCTCTCCTCCCCCAAAGTGTGGTTTGCATTTGGTGTTTTATTGTTGACTGTCAAGGAGATGTTACTGACTTCACGTGTGTGCTGTAATACATTTTCAGGGGTAGATGTTAATATATAATGTTTGGATTTGAACTGCTACAAGGTTAGTTTAGTGTTTCTGCTCTAGTCAACGGCTATCTCTATAGCAATGATGTCATGTCATCACTGTAGAGTTCGTTCAGATCCATCTTTCTGCTGGGGATGCGGCTTGGTGGTGAGAGGTCCAATCTCTCACTGAAAATAGCAATTACTCTTCAGTTGTCCAAGGCTTGTTATAAAGTCATAACTAAATATACTTTGTGTTTTTGATCTGGTTTGTCTATGAAGGATATGTGTGTTGTTTTGTTTCTATATTTGTTCTCTTTGTTTTCTCATTTTTGTGGACATAGATTAGGCTGACGTTTGTACTGTTTGTCTTTTCAAACTGAACTTTTTTTAAATAAGAACAATGTCTTAAACCATGGCTTGATGCATTGTAATACCAGATAAAATTTTTATTTAACATTGTGCTGTCTCGTACTGAAAGTTGATCTTCTCAGTAATTGTGGCTGTTTTGCACTAGTGTTGAAAGGTTCTGATTAGCAGCTGAGGGCTAAAGTCTTGAAATTAGTTCTTTAGAAATCTCAAGGATACAGTGGAAGAGTAGAATGAAGGGCTGGAGATGGCCAGGGGTCAAGAGTGCTTGCTGCTTTTGACCTGAATTGGATTCCTGCTGCCTCCTGACCACCTCTCTACCTCTAGCTGTTGGGGCGCCACAGCCTCCTTCTGGGCTCACAGATGCCCACCTACCGGTGTACTTCTCACACACCTGTGCTCAGGCACACACACAGAAGAAAAAGAGAAGCTAGGAGGAGCTTACTCATTTACAGTAGAAGTGTGACTTGCTTTATAATTTGTTGTCCTTTGTGTGAACTCACTTGACTGGATTCTAAGATCAATCCTTTAGCAGTAGAGTTTCTAGTTTGTAAAGTTAATCAGGATTTTTTTTTTGCCTCCTTAAAATAACAGAATTTTAGAATTCATGGAGATAAAGGATGTTACTTATTTCCCACACTTCATGAGCACTGCTGTGCTTACTCCTAATGTTCAGATTGAGGGTACACAGCAGCTTATTAAGCTTCCAGAGAGTCCTAAAACTTACAAGGAAAGAAATGAAAGTTTAGGGGTATATGGTTTTATAATTGCTTTTAAATTCTCTAAGAATATTTGCAACAGGAATTGCAAATTTTCATTCTTGTTTTTATTATACAAAAGGATAATAATATTCTGAAATATCATTTGTTGTACTTAAAATTGGTTCCATTCAAGGTGCTTGAATAGTGGACACACACTCATTTCTAGGTGATGGGTATCATTCTCTAACTACAGCCTGAGTTTGACTTTTTACTGATTCCTAAGGCTTCTGGGTGTTAACTAGTGTTTCATATCTTTATAGTTGTGCTACTTTACAGCAATGAGACTCTTCCGTCTAAGCTAGGTCGGGACTCAGGAGGTAACTTCTGGGTGAACTGTTTCAGGGATGGGGGTTACAGATAGATAGCCTGCTGGGGATGTTAGAGAGAGAGCATCACAGAGTGATCTAAAATTTATCTCAGCAACTATATATTTATAAAATTTGTTTTTCCCAGCTGTGTGTGGTGATCTGTACCTGTAACCCCAGCATTTGAGGAGGCACAGGAAGGGCAATCCTTCTGTCAGCCTTTGCTGCACAGCAAGTTCCAGGCTAACCTGGGCTATGTTTTCCTTTACTTCAGCCATAGCTGTTTTGAAAGTAAAAAGGGAATTGATTGCCTCACTGGTGGGCTATCTCTCCCACCTGTGGTTTTCCTTGTTGTCTTGTGCGATAGGAAAAAAATAGGAAAGCCATGTTCTGCCCACTTATAGTTTCAAGTGGACTTGGGAGGACATAGGAAGTAGTAGCTACAATTGGGCTCTAATTGCTTGTCTTCTGAAGTTTATCCTCACACATTAGAATATATTTTTCATAGTCATCATCATCATCACTATTGGGAGGACTCAAACCGAGGGCTTTGCACGCTGGACAAAGTACTACAGAGCTACATCCCCAGCCCTTTGGAATCACTTTGTAGTAAATTCAGGGATTCTCTAAGCTAATAAAATTAGAGGTCTTGTTAAAAAAGGAACAGTATAGACACAAACGACTACTGTGTTACAGATACAACATCTATGATTTTGAGGTAATGAATTAACTTCTCAGTGATACAACTCTGCATCTCTACTGTACAGGTAGGAAGGGGTCAGGACAAGGTGTATGTGGACCTCTACTCTTAGA